ATTTCAAGTTGACACTGTAACAGTAACAACAGGATAGATTTTCAGATAACCTTAATAGCTTTTTTTTTTTTTAATTATATTGATTAATTCAATTATTGAATAATTTAATGATTTAAAAGATGGCTTAATTTGATCTAATGTTATGTATTTGGTATGTTATGTGTTTCAGAACACTGAACATCTAAAACTGGTTTTAGAATAATCCTATAGAACAGCTTGGGTTGGAAGGGGCCCTTAAAGCTCATCTATTCCAACCCTCCTGCCATGGGTGGGGACATCTTTCACTAGATCAGGTTTCCCAAAACCCCATTCAGTGCAGCTTTGAACACTCAGTGACAAAGCATCCACAACTTCTCTTGTTAACCTCTTCTAGCATCTTGCCGCCCTCATCATGAAAAATTTCTTCCTTATATCCAATCTTAATCAACCCCCTTTCAGTTTAAAGCTGTTACCCTCTGTCCCGTCACTACAAGTGCTGGTAAAAAGTCTCTCTCCATCTTTCTTCTAAGCCCCCATTTTATATATGAAAGGCCACAATAATGTCTCCCCAGAATCTTCTTTCCTGCAGGCTGAACAACCCTAACTTCTCAGCCTCTCTTCATAAGATAAGTGCTCTAGCCTTCTGATCATTTTTGTGGCAGTTTTCTGAACCCTCTCTAACAGGTTCATGTTTTTCTTATGCTGGGGACCCTAGAACTGTATGCCATACTGCAGATTGGGTCTCATGAGAGCAGAATAGAGGATAATCACCTCCCTTTGCCTGCTGGCCATGCTTCTTTTTTTGCTGATGTACGTTTTTGTCTTATTTTCATTTATACATGGGAAACATAATTTACAATTATGAAAGTTAGATACAGGAATTTCATAGTATAACCTGAGATACTCTGTAGAATTAACGAGTTTCTACACTTGGCTCAGGGAAGTAGACAAAGAAATTGCTGTTATTCAGTCAATATCTGATAAAAGAAAATGTGTTTACATGGAAACTTTCCTTTCCAAAAATGAAAATGTCTCCAGAAAGCACAACAGTGATATGAACTAAGAGAATTCCATTCTACCTATATTAAAGTAGTTATATTTTTCTGTATTCTTTGAACATTCTTCAGAAGTTTGCGGTGAAATATTTTTCCATGTCAAGAATGAGTGAAGCTTACCTATTAACTAACTATAAAGAATAAATAGGGAAAATAGGCAAGCCAAGGAATGAGGAAGTGAATGGATTAAAATATTTCCATAAAATATTTTTAATGTTTATACTTGTTAGCTATTACAGTTAGATATTGATAAAGAGCAGTTTTTATTTGTGTATAATATGTTTATTTGGAATAAATGACGTGCTAAGCACCTGCAGCTCTTCCTGTTATCCAGCTCAGGACTGATTCTATTTTACAATACTCTTGCCTTTATTAAGCTATCTCCTGATTTAAATCTTTGCATATAAGGAAATAAATTGATTCTTATTTATAATGTTGGTTCCATGTATTTTTCTCAGAAGCTTCAGTGTCATTCAAAACCCACCAACGCCCTCCAAAGAGGTTCCCATTTTTCTCAGCTGATGTGGATTCAAGATATTCCTGGTGCCTGTCCTTCCACTGAAATGAACTTTTTAGATTTCAGATTAAAGACGTGGCAAACTTTGACTGACAGCTCTTCTGGCTCTGTGGGTGTATCATGCCAAATATTAATCCAGGACAGAGTCATTCTGCCTGGTCAGAGTTATTCAACACCTTTGAGCATGTTTTCTGACAGTTTGCCTTTCACCAGCAGGATTGGGCTAGTTCAAGTGTCAATGTTGCATCCATTTAACTTTATGCTGGTCAGATGTGAGCTGTACTCCAGCAACAGGATCAAAGCCAGCATATACTTCCTATCTCGTGTTCTAACTTAGCTCAACACTCAAGCCTGACTCAGATCAAACTAATACTTCTTGGTGACCTGCAGGACACAGATGAGATATTAATGGTGGGCTTTAGACACACATATCTCTGTGAAACAGTTGATAAAATGTTATGACTTTGCTTTCCATAGCAGTAGTCTTTTACTTTGTAGTCTCTTTCAATGGTGGGAGCTGATGATAGATGCTTTTCTCTCTTTTCCCTTTAATTGGAAGAATTGTCATTTTTCCCCATGACAACAAATGTTTGTGAATGATATAAAGAAGAAAACTATTTGCTTCTCAACCAGAGAAATGCACAAAGAAATGTTTATCAGAGCCAGAGTCTTACACTGCTTTTGTCTGTCATCCCAATAATAAAGTCTCTCCTAAGTACATTTTTTTCCTTTTCTTTCAGTAACTGGTGAACAATGAGGGTGCTATTTATGCTCTGATAATAAGAGAAAAACTTCTAATTGCAAGGTGAAAAGGGTTGTATTGAGTATGCAATTTCTATTGTAACAGTAATGGTTTGGCACTACTGCATTTTGGTTTTCATTTTGAGGATTTCTTTTCTGACATCTATGTTCCAAGGAGGAACATACCCTATGTTCAAATTTTTATAAACAACAATCTAATTTTATGATTGCAGGCTGTCCTTTGAACCAAATAGATGACATATGGCCTGTCCCTAAATAAAAATTTGGCAAGTGCATAGGCCTTCATTTCATGGATATGATGAGTAAGATATTATTAAGATATTATGGTTACCACTGAAATTTGTTGAGGTGGCTTTTATGTGAAGGGCATTATGTTGTTATCCAGGGAAGAATCAGTATATATTTCTTACATTGTTTTGTGTTTCAGAATTGTTTTTTTGCAGTGCTAATTAGTAGTTTAACATCTTATGAAGCTGTTAATATATATAGAAGGCTTTACAAGCTTCACAACTGTGTTTCAGTGTCAAAAACAGCCAGATTTCTTATGTTAGTATAGTATAGCATGCTTCCCTGCCTTTTGTTTGCTTTGCTGCAGAAAGCCTTTGGTTTTACATGATAAATGTACCTTTAAAAAAAAACAGCTGACGGCACATCTGTAGTATGCACACATATATAAGCATATTATGCAGTGTTATGTAACTTACGTGAAGTGAATGTGTCATGTAAATATTTCATTTCTGTTCATCTCATCCTTTTGCTAGAGGAGTAGTATTCATATTACTGCTGGGAACAGCTTATGTTTTTTGTATAATAATTTTGCTGGGTGTTTCCATTTTAGCACCCTGTAACATAGTGGAAGCAACTACTGAGTAGCATACTGATTCAGCTGTAGTGAGTTTAAAAAGGCAAATTACTGCACAGGAAAGAAAACAAAACGACCTTTTCTCATTCTGTCAATCTAATTAGACATCCATGAGGAAATCACAAAGTAATCCCATAGTGTTTAAAAGCTGCTTTTTTGATACCCCAAAGGGAGTTAACTGCAGTACAAGGAATTCTTCTTATATGTTTGCCCTTGGAAATGTCCAGTCCTTCTAGTTAAATTTTATGTTGGGTTAGTAACTATTGTCTTCATTTCTTATCCTTCATTTTTCAACTAGATGCTATATTCTTCACTTATATTTCTGAATAGTAGCAATGAGTAAGTTATATTTATTAAAGGGCTGACATATTTAATCCCAAAGACTACATTTTGGTGGTATTTCATATAATCAATTTGTAAAATCTATACATGAGTTGGATCAATCATGTACAGCAATTTGGATCCCAGTAGACTGAGGATCACGTATGTGCTCCTGATAAATACATGTATATGTCAGATATTATTAGTTATTACTAGTTAGTCAAAGAGAAGAAGAGTTTGAGAAAAAGGTTCTGACCTCTGAAACAGATCTCTTTTTTGTTTATTTGTTTGTTTGTTTTTTAGAAAATCTATCATTTGAAGTTCCTAGGGTGAATTACAGATTTTTAAGATAATCCTGTCTCCTTCCTGTGACTGTGAGGGTCATGAATGCCTTCATATACTTCTTTGTGGAGTTCTCAACCCATTTGAACAGTCTTGTGACAAAAATGAGTGAGTTGTGCAACCAAGTCAAAAGTAGATTCATTTCAGAAAAAGATTTAAACTCTTGAAGTGCTTACAGTATTTGTCCTGGTACTGCTAATCCTGCTTTGAGAAGTAGTCCAAACACAGGGAAGCTGCTAGAAATGTGAATAATCTAATTATGTATTTCCAACTGTGATGAGAATTTGTAGACATCCAGTAACTTCCATATCATGACCTATTTTAACTTCTACATATTGATGCCTTTTAATGTAGGGGATCTTGTAGACTACCTAAATCAAGACACAGAGTACACAGAGCATTTTTCAGTTAGTCCTACTTGCCATCTACCTCTGTAATCATCCTTTGCTATTGTGTTAACAGCCATCAGCTTTGAGTCATGGCTGCAGTTACTAAGAACATACTGTGGCCTTTTAAAGTCCAGAATGCTACTTTACTCAACCCAACTCAAATTCCTGTCCTCAGGCCTCTGAGGAATGCTGGATCCCAGCTATAACTCTCTCCTGCGAGAAAAACGTGTGTGCTTTGCCACAGCAGACCTACTGTAAGGGAAACAGCTGGAATGCATGCTTGCAGTCCCCATGCTTTTCTGGACAGCTGGTGGTAGAAGTGATGGAATGGCTTTCAGTGCTTTGTAGCTGTGGGATTTGGTACAACTCAAGGCATGGTGGTGTTCTTCCAGCCTCCTTGGTTCTCTCTTCCTTTCTGCAGAGAATGCTGTAGTTATGACTTGGCTATCCCTCAGCTGAGGAATGCTCTTGCACCTAGTCTTCAAATAGTTTTTTTCTGATGTTTATCCATGATGTCTGGTCTTTAGCCCACGTACTTCAGTATGTCTGAAACATGCATAATTTATTAAATCCCCTTTAGAACATTCCTTTTTGTATTTGGAGAAGTTTGCAAACTTCTTGTGTTGATCCTCTGTTTCATTATCCTCTGAAGATACTCAATTCCAGTCACTTCTGTTGCACAAAACAATGTAAGTTCTGTGGCTTCCTCATGGGTTCATCATGGATGGGAGACGAATATTCACCTGCCTTTTTTTTTTTTTTTTTTTTTTTAGGAAGCCTTGGTTATGGATCCCAGTCTAAGTCCAATGGAAAAGGCAGCTGCAACAACCTAGTAGTCACCAGCAGTCCCATGACAGTTCAGCACCTAGGACCTGTTTCACCTCCTGCTAATCAAGTTTCAACAGCATGCAACCAGATCAGCCCTACCCTACAGAGGTCTATGGATGCTTCCAGCCTGAGTGTTCCTTCATCAGATACAAGGTCCTGAGTTAGCTTTTTTCTTTTCAGTACTTAATAAAGAGGCCTTTTCAATTCTCTTGCCATTTAAATGCGACCTTTCTGATAATTACAATGGTCTAAATGATGCTTTGTTATGCCATGGCAAATTTAATTTGATATCATTTAATTCATGTCAGCTGTAATCACAGTGGTATAGATCATTCATATCAAGGGTAAAATGTAGCTAGAAATTTTCTATGCTTGATAGGTTTTTTTCTGTTCTATAAAGATTTTTAGAATCACTTAGCCATATTTTTGCACAGAAAAAAATAAACCAGGAACAGGAAATGCCGGAAATAGTCCAAATGCAACATCTTCATGGGTAGTTATGTGTTTTAAGTGTAATAGTACTAAGAATATTATGCTGGTGCCTGGCAAGTAATAATGTCAGACAAAAAAAAAATTAATCACAATGCTTTGCTAATGCTTCTTGCTCCTAATCAACTGCTATTTCTTTCAAATTGTTTAAATGGTTAACACAAGTTAATAAGATCAATTGTTCCCTATCTGCAATGAGCTAGCAGTTAACTGCATCTGTTAGGCTTTTCTATTTTAAACTGTTCCAGTAACTTTTGAGATTATAGCTATGAGCAGTATAGAAAAACATGAATGAAGGGAAAACAGTTGTTTAGACAACCTCCATACAGGTGCAGTAAGCACATCCCTGGATGTTAGTTAAGCACAGTGTGTAAAAATATTACAGCATATTACGTGGGAGGGTACATACCCACTTCAGTAGACATGGCTTGTGCAATAATTGCCTACTCAGCTGAAATGTAACCATTTTTATTCACAAAAGGCCACAAGAGCCTTTACTCTCTAAACAATTTACATTTTACTGCATCACCTTATTGCAAGACAAGGAACCATCTTGACATAATTAAAACTGCTATTATGTCAATGGAAGAAAATCTCGCGATAGTCTACTACAAGATACTTTGGGACATGTTGGACTTGATGATTCTTATGGGTCCCCTTCAGCTCAGGATATTCTGTTCTGTTCTATTTCTGTTGCTTCACTTGTGAAAACTAAGTTCTTTAGGACAATTTATAAGATTAATTATGTTACCTATATAAACATGGCAGGGAAAACCATTCGCTGCTAAACTGGTGACAAAGAACAAATCCAGAGACACGCCTTTTTGACGCCTTCACTTGTGAAAACTAAGTTCTTTAGGACAATTTATAAGATTAATTATGTTACCTATATAAACATGGCAGGGAAAACCATTCGCTGCTAAACTGGTGACAAAGAACAAATCCAGAGACACGCCTTTGTGACAGAGTAGAAACAATAGAATGAAAATATCATTAGGCAATTATTACCTATTTAACAAGTCTTAGGTATACCTGTAGGGTTTGTTATTTTTATGCGAATGTATGGTTGTGTGTACTATGTCAGTACTGTGTTATACATTTTTGTTTTTATTTAAAATAAACATTTACTAAGGGTGATCTGAAGTTGAAACTCTGGCAGAATCCAACCTGTAGTGTTCCTAGAGTGTCTTTTAATGATTTATCAATGAAGACTTTATAAAATCAGTTTGTTACACAAAGAATGTCCATCTCAGCAATTTTCCCCTCAATTTAGAGCAGAACGAGTTTCAAGTTATATTTTAATTAACAGATTGTGGAGACACTCTTTTGTTTTATTTTATTTTATTTTATTTTATTTTATTTTATTTTATTTTATTTTATTTTATTTTATTTTATTTTATCGCTTCAGCATTAAACTGAATTTGCCTAAAGTAGTTGCCCAAGTTAACTTCATAAACCTTCGTGAGCTGAGTGAGTGCCTCCTCTTCATTGTGGCTTTTAGGATGCAACATGAACTGTACTCTGACAGTTCAATCCAGAACAGCTTGTTGGCTGAATTGACCCAAACTAAAATGTCTTATATTGATTTTTACTGATGTAGGACGGAAAGTTGGCTAAACCACAGTTTTCCTGCAGACATCATCAAATTTTGGGATATAGACCAAGAGAAATAAAACCTTTCTCCCAACTTTTCTGAGAGTTTCCCAAAAAACTTTTCAGAGGAGTCAGTTATGCTGCTTAAAACCAAATATAATACTGCCACTTACTGAAATGCAATTGAGAGAAGGACCTAGGAAAGAAAAAAGTGTTCTTGGCTAGTAAAACAGAAGAGCAGGCAGAAAGGTTCGGAAACATAGTTTTCAGTCTTCTGTATTTTTGTCTAAGATTATGAGTTATACTTGACACTGTGACCTGTATACATGGAGGCAGAATAGAGTGACAGCTGGAATATCTTCTAAATAGTCATAAAAATCTGGTCCAAACTCACAGCTGGTTTAGATTAAAGTAAGCAAGCATGCCAATTAATTGCATCTGAGAATCTGGCATGGTGTTATAGTTGGTCCTTCATTTTCATATTAAGTAAATTTATTTTTCCCCAGAAAACTTCTTAGTCACGGTGTGGGCTGGGTTTTAATGATTTTTTCTCTGTTTTGGGAGCTGGAATCTTTGTTACTTTTGAATGTAGATGCTTAAGTGAAAACCAAACTTCTTCAGATTATCTGGCTCTTACTTATTATCTATGTTAAATACTTATGGAACTTTTAAAATCCTTTGAAATGCAGTTTCTCTCCAGCTTCACTGACAGGTGTGTTCCTTTCTGTTAGGCACTGGTAGCTTTTTGAATGAGGCTGGTCCTAATCAACATCTGATTAAAATTCTTGACATTAAAAAATAGACTTGTTACATTGATTCATGACTTTTCCTACTTATAAGAAGGAAAATGAAATCTAAATGATCAAGCTGGCAAAAGAAAGCCATCATTCTTATAATTTCCAGTTATAAGTGTTTATAGCATAGCGTGGAAAAATCAAACCTTACTTTTCTTACTCTGTTGAGGACTGGGTCTATAGCGGGGTCACAGCATACTAGCATAATTTAACTGCCTTATAATGAACAGTGCTTTAACAAAGCCCATTGATAACAGACCCAACAACCTGATTTTTTTTTTCCTGCAAATAATTACCCATTTAGATGTAAATCTTACACAAGATTGACCTGATACAGCTATGACATTTTTCTCATTTTTCTTAATCAAAATTGTATTCATTGTGTTAATTGCTCTTTTCTTTAACATTCTGTTTTGAAAGTAAATGCTATTTAAACCCCAATGGAATAACATAACCTCCATAACAGTACCCCGTACCAACATTCAGTTTGAACAGGATGTTTCTTAGTTATTCTTATACAGAAAATCAACCAACCATTACAAGAAAAAAAAAAAAAATCTTGAGAAAATGATTTTAAACTTCTGGAAACTGCTGTAATACTAAGTAACAGGATAAAAAAACATCACGAAGCAAGTGCTCATGTGGATGAGGTGAATAAGATAACAAGGATGCCAGGATTTTTCAGCTTTAATCTGTGTGGCTGGAGTTGAATGTGGGAAGTTACATACACTTCTCTTTATTGAATGGCTGCAACTAATATTAGCATACATTTTGTCAATCTTACAAATATGATTGAAAAATAATCCACAGATCTCCAACGAAAAAAATTGTTTTACCAAACAGAACGATGGAAATTTGTTAAACATTAGTGTATTCACTGGGAGTATCTCCAAAGCCATTGTTTAGGATCTGTTCTTGTTCTCTTGAATTAACTGATGTTGTTTTAAATGGGATTGAGATCCTCACTTTTGCCAGCTACCAATTCTTAAGTTAGGTGGTTTCATGTATCTTCACTGAAGCCGCAGTCACTGCAGCTACAAGATGTGGTGCAGACATAATATGCAATTATGCACCTTAAGAGATCTGTCTCATGGATCCTTGTCTCCTGAAGCAGAGCCTGCAAGAAAACCTTGCAGAACTCAGTAGCAACTAGAGTATTATTTATCCTGAGTAGATTCTAAACTTGCTTACCTATTAAGAAAAAGAAGCTAGTAAAAGAGGTGGAAGTGCCTCCTTAAAGATGCTTGTTGTACGTATGTTGCAAGAAAGAGATGAGATTTGTTTATTTTCTTTATAGTGCATACTTTCTCTTCTACACATTTGAAATGTGTAGTAATATAAAAAATTTTAAGTAAAAATATTATAAAGTTTAAAGAAGTAAAAACATTATAAATAACTGACTATAGGAGTGTACCATTATAAGTAAGTATACATTATTCCTTGCCCACGAATTTCTTTGAATTACTGCTTGTAAATATTTGATATACCATTTAGTTAGAATTTCAAGAAATATTTTTATACATATAGTATTTAAAGTATCTATTACCACTTGCTAACTTTATTTTGTTAAGTTAATTTGGCCTCCTGAAGTCTTTGTAGGATAGGAGAAACTATTGTGTATGTTGTTTATTATGTGAGAAGATGAGAAGCAGTGATTAAATAACTTATTTACCTTCAAAATGCATTTCAGGTTTAGAAGAGAAACCAGATTTTCTGTGTATGCCTTTGATCTCCGATTTAAATTCTGTGCTTCTACACTTCCAAAGTGTATTGTAAAAATCATAAATGCAAGAATTAACCCCCAAATTGCAGAGGTTTTTGTTGTTTGTGAGATCTCCATGTTTATCTAGATGCCAGGTTCTTTCTACTGTTAGAGTTCCTCACAAATACTAATTAATATAATGATGACACCACTGGCTTCACCGGCTGGCAAGAAATCCAAGAGTGCCAATATGCAGAATTGAAAAATAAAGACATAAATCTACTTGTCCTTTACCCAGCATTTGCAGCTGTGAATCAGGGCACGTGGTGTCCTTGTATTTCCTTATTATACTTTTATGTGGATACCAATATTGTTAGGAGCTTATGAGGTTTTTTAAGCTACATGTAGGATATTTGCAACCTAAACAAGTTTCTTAATCTTTCTATGACAAACTGATAACAGCAGCAAGATTACAGTTTTGTGAAAGAAAAATTGACTGCTGACATAGAGGGAAATACATCATGAAACAAAAACTAAGTGAACCCCTTCAATCAGTTCTTCTACATTATTAATTTGTTTGTTTTGTTAAGTTAGATATAATCTGTATAATCTTCAGCTATTTCTGTAAAGAATATTTGTATGCATTACAACTGGCCAAGTGAAAAAGGTTAAACATTTATTCTTTATTAATCATTTTTCTTCTCCTTCTTTGCTAGAAAAAAAAAAATTAATAGTAATCTCAAATCAATGAGCTTCACACAAGGCAAGAGCATAATGCTTTAGCTTCAGAAGCCCAAGCCTCTTTACACCACGGTTGATGAAAAAAAATCCTTTCATTTCTGCAGTAAAATATCAAGAACCATTAGAGCAACTTTTCTTAAAATCTTAAGTGTCCTCGTTTCAGTTAGGACAGAGTTAATTTTCCTCCTAGTAGCTGATAAGGTGCTGTGTTTTGGTTTAGGATGAGAAGAGTGCCGATAATACACTGATGTTTTAATTGTTGCAGAGCCGTACTTACACCAAGCCAAGGACGTTTCAGCTTCTCACACTGTCCTGCCAGCTGGCAGGCTGGGGGTGCAGCAGGAGCTGGGAGGGGACAGACCCAGAACAGCTGACCCAAACTGGCCAAAGGGGTATTCCATACCATCTGATGTCATGCTAAACAATATATAGGGGTGGCTAGCCAGGGTGGGGGGGCTGGACTGCTCGGGGTTAGGCTGGGCATCGGTCAGCAGGTGGTGAGCAATTGCCTTGTACATCACTTGTGTTGTACACATTAGTAGTAGTAGTACTATCATCACCATCATCGTTATTATTATTATTGTTATTATTATTTTTCTGTCTTAGAAAACTGTCTTTATCTCAACTCACAGGCTTCACTTTCCCGTTTCTCTCCGCCATCCCAGAGAGGGAGGGGGGAGGGTGAGCGAATGGCTGTGTGGTGTTTAGCTGCCGTCCGGATTAAACCACAACACTTAAGTTAAAAGTTGGACTCTTAAGTATCTTTTTATATATTTTTTGCCTGTGTATGGCTCCTGGTGTATCAACTGAGAGTACTTGAAGTTAGAGATAACGTTTTTTCACATGTAACCTTCCTTTAGATGTATGTGTGTGTGAAGGTTGAAGAATCAGTCTGTAGCAGTATATACACATGAAATTTGAACTGCTGAAGTGTCTAACTGCTTACTCATTTTATTATGTCTTTGTTCCAGGTCACTCTTGTCGTGTGAGTCTCTGGCCTCTACAACATCAAGCTTGTCAGAAAGTCAGTCCACTTTGAGCGTTAAGCAAGAGTGGTCGCATGGGTACAGGACACTTCCTTCTCTTTCTCCTGAACAAGGTTTACAAAATGGTAGTGAGTTGAGGGACTTACTAAATTTTTCGCCTGCAACATCTGTGTCCAGTAGCTGTGTATCTAACTCATTACCATCCTACTTATTTGGCTTAGAAAATAGCCATTCCTCTTACCTTAGTCCTCGCCATTCCTCTTCCCTGTCTCAATCTACCCGCTCCAAAAAGAGAGCACTCTCTCTTTCTCCTCTATCTGATGGCATTGGGATTGACTTCAATACAATCATCCGTACATCCCCAACCTCTCTAGTGGCCTACATCAACAGCTCAAGGACATCACCAGCTAACATTTCCCCACAGCCTGAGGTTTATGGACATTTTTTGGGAGTTCGAGGAAGCTGTATACCCCAAAACTACTCTGTTCCAGCTACCCAGAAAGGTCTACTCATGGCTAATGGCAGTATCACCTTCCCAGAGTACACTGAGAATAGTGCTGGTGAATACCAGCGGATGCAGCAATTGGAGCAAGCCAGCCTGCAGACAGAAACCACAACTAACATGGTAATCCAGCAGGGCATGCCTCCCATGGACAGCCAGACTCTGAGTGCCCTGAAAAATGAACAGCTGGATGAATTCTCAGGCCATACAGTTGACATGCTTCCTCCACCCTCTCTGCCGCCACCTCCTCCACAAGGGCCTCCGCCACCATACCATGCTCATCAGCACCGACATGTGCCCAGCCTTCCTGGTCACATGCAGCCTCTGCCTGTGCCTCCATCTGTCCCATGCCCACAGCTTGAAGAAGATGGGGAGCTGGATGATTTCAATGGCAAGCATGGCTGTCGCTGGATTGATTGCAATGCACTGTATGACCAGCAAGAGGAACTTGTGCGGCACATAGAGAAGATTCATATAGACCAGAGGAAGGGAGAAGATTTTACGTGCTTCTGGGCAGGGTGTCCACGAAGGTTCAAGCCGTTTAATGCTAGGTATAAACTGCTGATTCACATGAGAGTCCACTCCGGAGAGAAGCCAAACAAATGCACAGTAAGTCTGAATTCCGCCTCCCTTACCAATTATAGACTATATATTACTCATGACAATATAGAGAAGTTGTAATTCTGTCTCTGTGTCTAATGTTTCAAAGTAACATTCTGGATTTTTGTTGTTGTTGTTGTTTGGTTGTTTGGTGGTGGGTTGTTTTTTTTGGCTAGTCTGCATGACTGCCTCATCTTTCCGTCTAGATAGAAAGGAAAGGTATTCTTTAATTTGATATGTAAAGACAGATAGGATTAAACAAAATTCTGTTTTCTAAATTTAGAAAGCCTTTAATATAGACTGCAGAAGTGGCATGGTAGACCTCCATAAATTGAAGCTTAAGTACCATCAGTCCCTGGAATATTATAACCATACAGGGGGAAAATGTGACGTAGAATAAATGACAAAGTGACGAATAAGTGACGAAGAATAAATGACGTAATTTATCTCAAAGTATTATTGCATGATGTTACTCTTTTTTGATTTGAGAAATTTTGGGGATTGTGTATAATGTAACCATGATAAACTGAAAAAAGTTTTTGCCTGAGAAAAGAGGCAATTGCTTGTTTCATTACTACCCAAAAACAGACCTGTAGCCCTATTGTCCTGAATACAGTGGGAAAAATACACATGACAATTTCTCTGCGCACATCTTCCAGTAGTGAAGATTCAACCTCCAAAGCCATGCTTTTCTTGTATCTTTTCTTAGGATCAATGCAAGCTAGTCCCTTGCATACATAATCAGACAGGGAGATGATCTAGCCAGTAAACCCTCCCATCAGCTTATGTTTGGACTCCAGTGAAGCATTTATAATCTAATTCAGATTCTTGATTTGCTTTACTTATAAGGTGTATTTTGGATGACAATTAGCTTACCCACACTAATCGCTAGAGCCAGCAGAAAACAGCCTAACCAGTACTGTTCCTAGTCCTCAGCATAACCTAAGAAAACAATGAACATATGTTTTCTAGAAAGAACTGCTGATTGTTACTCATTTGAAAAACATGGATTTGTTTATAAGTTGTGTAATATAAGTTGGTGCAAGGAGTCTGTTTTGGTGTTTGTCTAGTTAAATGTTTTTCTTACAATTTGTTACTTATTCTAGATTTTTGCTTGTACAATAGATAGAGGAAATTTGTTCTTTAAGTTTTTGGACTCTAAAGGGCTCAATATTCTTCAGGAAGAGGAGATATCTTCCCAGATTTAACTCTCGAATTTAAAACACTGGGCGGAGGAACTGTCACAACACTAGGAAGATTATCTTTCCTTTTTTTTTTTTACACTAGAGCCTGAATGCCTGAATTCTCTGCTCTCTCAATCTCTCTCTCTTTTGCTTTTTTTTTTTTTTTTCCTTAAATTCTGTTATATCCTCTTTTCTGCTCTTGGGATATGTTGGATCAGAATTTGCCGTTAACTTCAGTTCCTTGGGCACTTCTTGTCAGCTTTCCAGGGAAAGAAAGAGAGAGAAAAAATAATTATTAGAAGTCAATAAAATAATTTTTTAAGGGAGTAGCACATGGAAAAAAAAAATCATACAGAGACAACACTATAAAGAAAGAGGGTGAGAATGGTGAATGAACACTAAAAGAGTAAAGCAATTACCCAGGGCATTTGCAATAGGATATCTGTGATGAAAGATCCAGTAAGTCTGGGAAAAACATTGTGTTAGTAGCACTCTATACTCACTCTACACTCCCTGTCCTACCTGCTGAGAAAAGTTGCTTACATTGACTTCCTCATGTTTATATCCTTATGTCCTTTATGTCTCTGTCCTTAGCTTTGAAAGAGTCATCATTCATCGATGATAAATATGTTTATGAATAAAGTACTTAACATGATCCCATTTTTAGATGACTAATCCAAAAGTGTGTGCCAAGCCTTACCACGTCACAAAAAAAAAAAAAAAAGATGTCTATATTAGCTTCTTAGAAACAGGTTTCTCTCATATACAGTAATGACACTTCTTCATTTTACTGAACTTCAGCAATTAATGAGGGATACTGCCAAGTTTACACATTGAAAGTTGATACTTATCTTGTTTCATGTTTAGAAGTGTAACGAAGTAGAGAAATTTTAAGGGTGACTTGGCAACTCTTAAAATGTGGGTGTAAATCTGGAACATAGGACCACTTCCTTGGGACAAACATGCAGAACTGGCATTCATTAGTAGGCTTTGAGTGAAACAGCTTGCTTTACTATTGCACCAACAGTATGAATTTGGAAAACACATTAGACTTTCTAATGACAAGGGGCTACAGCCTGGAAGTCTATCAGTGTATGCAGGAAACTATACTAAAGTCAAGCTTCATACCTTTCTCACCAAGCAGTGAAATTTACAATCATACCAGTATAATTGGGGGTTTTAAACTGAGATTTTAGGTGAGGTATTATGGAGAACACTTTGGGCAAGATGATCATGAAATGTGATTTTCATAAGAACCAAAAATTATGCAAAAGAAATCTGAAGTTTCATAAAACCCGTATGAGTTAATGGTTAATGCACTAAAGTGATAAATCAAAACAATCCATTTATCATCTTTATTTTTCCACCTGTAGTCTTTCTGTAATTTATTTTCTGATTCCACATGTAGGATGCTTCTTTCTCTAAAAACATTATAAAGTACAGGTATACCTTCATTGCAGCTTGCATACTGATAGCAGGCAATCTAGGACACCAATCGGGAAAAAAAATGACAAATACTGATTTATTACATGAACCAATCAGATTTACTACAGAGAGAGTAGGAGAAGTCACAGGTCTTTGGTAAGAAATAGCTTAATATAATGTTTCAAGAACATCTAAAACTAAATGCAGCCAATAAAACTCATCACTTTAGTGACATCACATGCCAGTCATTGTCTGAACATCATGTGTGTTTGTTCCTAACATTTTGCAAAAGTTAGTTAATAGGTGTTGTTAATAACACTTCTTGTTAAGTGTGTATTACAATAGGTCCTGGTTAGTGTATTTATCACACAGTACTTGTTTCCATGCAGCTGAAGGGTGAGAGAGCATTACTTGGTACTGTGTTGAGTGTTTGACTATTTCATGGTTGCAGTGGATTGCTATTATAGTTCAACAAGCTCTGCAAGATTATAGTAATATAAGGCCAGGGTCACTTCTAAATTGTGTTATTAAATGCCACTAAAGATTATGCAGAATCAGGTGCATAACTAATTATAAACTGAACTTCAGAAAATCCTTTTATTCTCCTCTGTGATTGTTCTGTGATGACTAAATCATATGTTTGAAGAGAGATTTAAAGAATAGCTGTGACTGCAACACATCATGTACTTATAGTTAAAATTGCAGGTAGATATTTTTGTGACCTACACAGTTGTTTTGCCACATACAAACTAGTTCCTTTTTATCTATGTAATAAAAAATAGAATTGATAAATTATAGATAAAGGCTCTTTTCACTCTGTTATCTCTGGTTTTGGATGGGCCAGCTTTTTCAGTTCTGAATGATGAGAGTGTTATAGAATGAGTTGTAATCAGACATGATGACCAGGATTTGATGATCCTGATCATCAGATAAAAACTTAAAGTCAATCATTCTCAAGTTCAAAAACTCAGAGCATACCTATCCCATTGTACAAATTACGTAACAGTGAAGATAGAAACTGTAAAAGTACACCTGCGTACGAGGAAGACTTTGACCAAGGTAACTGGGGAGCAGAAGATCATTCTAAAACTAGATCTTCTGGATCATTCTAGATCTAGATCTACTAGATCTAAAAGATCATTCTTCAAGTCCAACTCCAGGAGTTGTATCCTTATGAGTCCCTTCCAACTCAGGGTATTCTATAATTCTATACCAGTCCTGACAATTTTGACTTTGTATTGATTTTTTTTTTCTGTAAATCAAACTCCTCCCTCTCATACCCTCCCCTCGAAAGGGAGAACGCAAAAGAGAGGGAAAAGAAAAGCAACTAACCCGAAAACGCCCTCCCTCTCCCTCTCCTCTCCCTCTCCGCTCCCTCTCCCTCTCCCTCTCCCTCCTCTCCCTCTCCCCCTACCCCTCCCCTCCCCCTACCCCTCCCCTCCTCCCCCTCTCTTTCACCCTGTACACTTCTTCTGTGTACTCAGAAGATTGGTTGTCATTCTAAAATGTATGAATTTCTTAATCTGAAAAAAGAGTAAATTTCATAGAATCCCACATTTTATTTTGTATGGGACGCCAAAGTGGGTGACTCTATATCGCAGTATATGGAAATTTGCAAAGTTGAATAGTACCTGCATGCAAGAAGCCTAACCTGAAGCTGCCTTGTTTGGAGTAGGAATTCATTATACTGGTGTTAACATGTCTTGAGATCCCTTAATGCTGATTAAAACACCTTCTGGGTTCTATTCCAATATACTGCAACTGGAATGGATTCTTGCTTCATTTCAGTAACCTGATTTGAAAACTAAAATATCTATTCAGGACATGATAACATACATTTAGTGTCAATTCCTAATTTCTTTATATAAAATTAGATATGAAATGTTTGAGTGTGGCATATTTATGTATTAGTCTATGTCTTAGTTTGTGGGATTGGGTTTAAGAAAGAAGTTGGGTAGATAAAAAGATAAGAAAAAGGTGAATGCAAAATTGATGTTGAAATGTAAGCAGTTAGTTCTCTAGTGGTTGAGATAAAATCTTCAGTGTTTGCCAGCAGTTACCACACAATGCTCTCTGAGCTTCCCTCAGATTTCCTCTGGATTAGAGAAAAAGAGAATTCCTGGTAGCTGTGGAAACTCTGCAATTGCAATTGGCAAATGCTGACCTTTTACTCTGGCTGCACCTGTGATCTTATTTTCTACTCAGTGTTCCTTCTTTTATGGTGAATTATTTTTCTACGTTTAAAATTCAGCTGCAATAAGTGGTACTTAATTAACTTTATGTCATGGTATGTAAACAGTAAACTTTAAATATTACTCTGGTGTAAATAGCAACAGCACATTGTTAAAGACAAATTTCAGGCTCTCCCTTTGCATTTTCATTTAGATACACTAGGAATAC